GCCAAATTTAAAGAAGCTGGCCCCAGATAGGCAGGCTGGGGAGTCCCAGAGGGCAACCTTAAACTAGGGAAGGTTAGTAGGAACTAGGAAGTCACCAAGGAAAGTGCCTTCTGGGGAAGGGATTGCATCTCATTGCATACATCACCATATATCACAGAGCCCATAATAAAATAAGGAGGCTTTCAGGTACATGTGGATTTAGAGACACTGTAGTTGTTGCTTAACCACCTGAAGACATGGGTGAAATCCTGGCCCCCATGAAGTTTTACGATAGATTTGCCGTTGACTTCAGCGAGGCCAGGATTTCACCTGCGGTGTCTGAAGTAGAGTTTGTGAGCTTCAGCTCCCAAAACACAGGCCCCTATCAGTGAGCTAAAGGAGCAACTTTGGTAGTTAAGCCAGTTCTAATACATTCAGCACATCAGACAAATTCCATCCAGCAGAGAGAGGTGGGAGAGCGGAGAGAGGTGGGAGAGCGGAGAGAGGTGGGAGAGCAGAGAGAGGTGGGAGAGCAGAGAGAGGTGGTACATATGCAAAAGCAGCCGACTTCTGTCACAGTGTTTTTTTTAATCAGCTGGGAGGCAGTTTTACATTTTATTCTTATCAGCTAAGGGGTACAATATATTCTCTGAAGCAGCTAGGAAAGTTCTGACAAGAATTAAAACTAAAAATAAAAAAATCATTTTCATTTTTAGTATTTTTAAACAAAATTAGTAGCTGCATGGAAATGATGGGGGGAAAGAAAGATCATTTCCTTGGTGTTTAAGAGTATGAGGGGAAAAGTGGAGCCACAGCCCGATGTCCATCTTTCTCAATACACTTTAATTAGGCCTTTTCAGAACTCCAAAATGAACAAAAGTATAACTTTACATTACACATTTCCAGACCATATCCTCAGCTAGTGTAAATCACTGAGGTAAACAGAGCTATGCTGATTTACACCAACTGAGAAGCTGGGCCTCCTGTTTCTCAAGCAAGATAAAATATATTAATACACTGGAGTTCATCAGCACCATTTTAAGTGAAAGCACCCACTGCGAAGCGGCCTAGTCATCCTGAAATCCACAAAGACAAAACCAAATGAAAGGGTTAATGAAAAGAGGCAGGAGAAGGAATGGTAATAAATGAGTTGACAACAGTAAAGTTAAAAAAAACAGCTACCTGAGGTGTTATTTAAAATGGGGAGAAATGGACTGAAATGTGTTTTAGAAGCTAGTAAGTTCCACCCTGTTGGGCCCATAACAATGAAGATACAATTGTAGAAACAAGGTGGGCGAGGCAATATTTTTTATTGGACCAACTTCTGCTGGAGTGAGAGATAAGCTTTCCCACTTGACAAGCTTGCCTTTCTCACCAGCAGAAGTTGGTCCAATACAAGATATTACCTCATCCACCTTGTCTGTCTAATATCCTAGGACCAACATGGCTATGATAACACTACAAGATACATTTGTCCCACTTGCTGAGTTAACTGTACCTCTGACCCCCTTGTGATGATCTCGAGAACACCGCAGTTAGGTCTCAGGCCTCCAGCTTCCAACCGTCACCTTCTGGGGGGCAGAATCCTGCAATTCTCTCCCTCCAGACCAGGGCCTTCAGTTGCAGACTCATGCAATTCACTATGATCAACTCAGCAGGTCTGACTTTAATTCAACACCTGCAGTTTTGTTCTCTGAGGGGCAATGACGGGGCATTCAGTGACCAGCCAGTAATTAAAGCGCATTACTATTCAGAACAAAAGCATTACAGAGAAAACAAATCTTAAAACAATCAACAACTTATACACATTCCTAGCTTACAAGGTATCACATGAAGGCTTTGGTTAGTTTGGTAGGTCCTAAAAAAATAAACTCAAGCCCCTCTCTGAGGGCCTTATCCTGTTGGTCACAGTCTCATGGTGGTCAGTTCTTGGATGATGTTGGCACCTCCCCAGGTCAATGGCTGTTATTTTAAACAGTTTAAAGTCCTTTGTCTGCCAAGGCCTTTGAACCAGGTCAAACTAATCTGCATGCAAAAGACTCATTACCTGCAGTGTTTCAGTACTGGAGATTTGCATTGATTACTGCCCCACTGCCCCCATTGTCTTTAGTTCCTGCAGGAAGCATCCATTCTCTGATTATACCTCTGGACAAATGAATCACTAGCCAGCCCATAAAGATATATTAACTTTATAAACAACAGTAGTTGAATATACCATAGCATCTGTCACAATGATCACTTACTAACCTAAGATGGGATGACAGATACTTAAGCAAGGACTAGGAACAAGTTCAAATACTCCTCAGAAACAGGTTCAAGTAATGTCTTGAGTACAGCCAAGGGCTAGACTGCTGAAGGCTTTCTAACCCAACAGCGTGCTGGTCTTCACTACAGGGAGATTGACGCTGCTAAACTCAATGCAGCAGAGGTCTAAATCAATGGCAGAGTGCTCTCCAGTCTACCCCAGTACTCCAGCTCCCCAGGAAGAGTAATAAGGGTATGTCTACACTACGAAATTAGGTCGAATTTATAGAAGTTGGTTTTGTAGAAAGCGTTTTTATACAGTCGATTGTGTGTATCCCCACACAAATTTTCTAAGTGCATGTAGTCAGCGGAGTGTGTCCACAGTACCGAGGCAACCGTCAACTTCCAGAGCGTTGCACTGTAGGTAGCTATCCCACAGTTCCCGCCAACCATTTGAATTCTGGGTAGAAATCCCAGTGCCTGATGGGGCTAAAACATTGTCGCGGGTGGTTCTGGGTACATATCGTCAGGCCCCCCTTCCCTCCCTCCTTCCATGAAAGCAAGGGCAGACAATCATTTTGCGCCTTTTTTCTTGAGTTACCTGTGCAGACGCCATACCACGGCAAGCATGGAGCCCGCTCAGCTAACCGTCACAGTATGTCTTCTGGGTGCTGGCAGACGTGGTACTGCATTGCTACACAGCAGCAGTTTATTGCCTTTTGGCAGCAGACAGCGCAGTACGACTGGTAGCCATCGTCGACGTAGTCCTGGGTGCTCTTTTAACTGGGCACCTGGGCAAACATGGGAGTGACTCAGCCAGGTCATTTCCCTTTTAAGTTTCGTCTCATGGAGATTGACTCCTACCAGCAGTGCACTGTCTTTCGATCAGCAGCCAGCAGAAGATGATGGCCAGCAGTCATACTGCACCATCTTCTGCCGAGCACCCAGGAGATGACGATGGCTAGCGGTTGTACTGCACAGTCTACTGCCAGCAAGATATATAAAGATAGATGAAGTGGCTCAAAACAAGAAATAGACCAGATTTGTTTTGTATTAATTTTCTCCTCCCTCCCTCCATGAAATCAGCGGCCTGCTAAACCCAGTTTTGAGGTGTATCCTTGAGGTTTTGAGTTCTATCCTTGAGAGGGCCATTCTGTTTCTCGCAAAGCCACCCCCTTTGTTGACTTTAATTCCCTGTAAGCCAACCCTGTAAGCCATGTTGTCAGTCGCCCCTCCCTCCATCAGGGCAACGGCAGACAATCGTTCCGCGCCTTTTTTCTATGCAGACGCCATACCACAGCAAGCATGGAGCCTGCTCAGATCACTTTGGCAATTAGGAGCACATGAAACACCACATGCATTATCCAGCAGTATATGCAGCACCAGAACCTGGCAAAGCGAAACCGGGCGAGAAGGCGACGTCAGCGCAGTGACGAGAGTGATGAGGACAAGGACACAGACTTCTCTCAAAGCACGGGCCCTGGCAATGTGGGCATCATGGTGCTAATGGGGCAAGTTCATGCGGTGGAACGCCGATTCTGGGCTCGGGAAACCAGCACAGACTAGTGGGACCGCATAGTGTTGCAGGGCTGGGACTATTCCCAGTGGCTGCGAAACTTTTGCATGCGTAAGGGCACTTTCATGGAACTTTGTGACTTGCTTTCCCCTGCCCTGAACTCAAGAATACAAAGATGAGAGCTGCCCTCACAGTTGAGAAGCAAGTGACAATAGCCCTGTGGAAGCTTGCAAAGCCAGACAGCTACCGGTCAGTCGGGAATCAATTTGGAGTGGGCAAATCTATGGTGGGGGCTGCTGTGATGCAAGTAGCCCACGCAATCAAAGATCTGCTGATATCAAGGGTAGTGACCCTGGGAAATATGCAGGTCATAGTGGATGGCTTTGCTGCAATGGGATTCCCTAACTGTGGTGGGGGGCCATAGATGGAACCCATATCCCTATCTTGGCACGGGAGCACCAAGCCGGTGAGTACATAAACCGCAAGGGGTACTTTTCAATAGTGCTGCAAGCACTGGTGGATCACAAGGGACGTTTCACCAACATCAATGTGGGATGGCCGGGAAAGGTACATGACGCTCGCATCTTCAGGAACTCTGGTCTGCTTCAAAAGCTGCAGGAAGGGACTTTATTCCCAGACCAGAAAATAACCGTTGGGGATGTTGAAATGCCTATAGTTATCCTTGGGGACCCAGCCTACTCCCTAATGCCCTGGCTCATGAAGCTGTACACAGGCAGCCTGGACAGTAGTCAGGAGCTGTTCAACTACAGGCTGAGCAAGTGCAGAATGGTGGTAGAATGTGCATTTGGACATTTAAAAGCGTGCTGGCGCAGTTTACTGACTCGCTTAGACCTCAGCGAAACCAATATTCCCACTGTTATTACTACTTGCTGTGCGCTCCACAATATCTGTGAGAGTAAGGGGGAGACATTTATGGTGGTGCAGGAGGTTGAGGCAAATCGTCTGGCTGCTGGTTACGCACAGCCAGACACCAGGGTGGTTAGAAGAGCACAGGAGGGTGCGGTGCGCATCAGAGAAGCTTTGAAAACCAGTTTCATGACTGGCCACGCTACAGTGTGCAAGTTCTGTTTGTTTCTCCTTGATGAAACTCCCCGCCCCTTGGTTCACTCTTGGTTCACTTCCCTGTAAGCTAACCATCCTCCCCTCCTCCCTTCGATCACCGCTTGCAGAGGGAATAAAGTCATTGTTGCTTCACATTCATGCATTCTTTATTAATTCATCACACAAATAGGGGGATAACTACCAAGGTAGCATAGGAGGGGTGGTGGAGGAGGGAAGGACAAGGCCACACAGCACTTTAAAAGTTTAAAACTTTAAAACTTATTGAATGCCAGCCTTCTGTTGCTTGGCCAATCCTCTGGGGTGGAGTGGCTGGGTGGCTGGAGGCCCCCACACCACGTTCTTGGGCATCTGGGTGAGGAGGCTATGGAACTTGTGGAGGAGGGCGGCTGGTTACCCAGGGGCTGTAGCGGTGGTCTGTGCTACTGCTGCCTTTCCTGCAGCTCAACCATACGCTGGAGCATATTAGTTTGATCCTCCAGCAGCCTCAGCACTGAATCCTGCCTCCTCTCATCACGCTGCCACCACCTTTCAGCTTCAGCCCTCTCTTCAGCCCGCCACTTACTCTCTTCAGCCTGCCACCTCTCCTCCCAGTCATTTTGTGCTTTCCTGCACTCTGACATTGTCTGCCTCCACGCATTCGTCTATGCTCTGTCAGTGTGGGAGGACAGCATGAGCTCAGAGAATCTTTCATCGCAAGTGCATTTTTTTCGCCTTCTAATCTTCACTAGCCTCTGGGAAGGAGAAGATCCTGTGATCCTTGAAACACATGCAGCTGGTGGAGAGAGAAAAAGGGACAGTGGTATTTAAAAAGATACATTTTATCGAACAATGGGTACACTCTTTCACAGTAAACCTTGCTGTTAACATTATATACATAGCACATGTGCTTTCATTCCAAGGTCACATTTTGCCCCTCCCCCCCCCCCCCCATGGCTAACAGCAGGGAACATTTCTGTTCAGCCACAGGCAAACGGCCCAGCAGGAACGGGCACCTCTGAATGTCCCCTTAAGAAAAGCACCCTATTTCAACCAGGTGACCGTGAATGATATCACTCTCCTGAGGGAAACACAGAGAGATAAAGAACAGATGTTGTTTGAATGCCAGCAAACATACACTGCAATGCTTTGTTCTACAATGATTCCCGAGTACGTGTTACTGGCCTGGAGTGGTAAAGTGTCCTACCATGGTGGATGGAATAAGGCTGCCCTCCCCAGAAACCTTTTGCAAAGGCTTTGGGAGTATATCCAGGAGAGCCGCAAATGCCAGGGCAAATTAACCATTAAACATGCTTGCTTTTAAACCATGTATAGTATTTTAAAAGGTACACTCACCAGAGGTCCCTTCTCCGCCTGGCGGATCCGGGAGGCAGCCTTGGGTGGATTCGGGGGGTACTGGCTCCAGGTCCAGGGTGAGAAACAGTTCCTGCCTGTTGGGAAAACCGGTTTCTCCGCTTGCTTGCTGTGAGCTATCTACAACTTCATCATCATCATCTTCTTCCTCGTCCCCAAAACCTGCTTTGGTGTTGCCTCCATCTCCATTGAAGGAGTCAAACAACACGGCTGGGGTAGTGGTGGCTGAACCCCCTAAAATGGCATGCAGCTCATCATAGAAGCAGCATGTTTTGGGCTCTGACCCGGAGCGGCCGTTCGCCTCTCTGGTTTTCTGGGAGGCTTGCCTCAGCTCCTTAAGTTTCACGCAGCACTGCTTCGGTTCCCTGTTATGGCCTCTGTCCTTCATGCCCTGGGAGATTTTGACAAATGTTTTGGAATTTCGAAAACTGGAACATAGTTCTGATAGCACGGATTCCTTTCCCCATACAGCGATCAGATCCCGTACCTCCCATTCGGTCCATGCTGGAGCTCTTTTGCGATTCTGGGACTCCATCATGGTCACCTCTGCTGATGAGCTCTGCACTCACCTGCAGCTTGCCACGCTGGCCAAACAGGAAATTGAAATTCAAAAGTTCGCGGGCCTTTTCCTGTCTACCTGGCCAGTGCATCTGAGTTGAGAGTGCTGTTCAGAGAGATCACAATGGAGCACTCTGGGATAGCTCCCGGAGGCCAATACTGTCTAATTGTGTCCACAGTACCCCAAATTTGACCCAGCAAGGCCGATTTCCGTGCTAATCCCCTTGTCAGGGGTGGAGTAAAGAAATGGATTTTAAGAGCCCTTTAAGTCGAAAAAAAGGGCTTCATCATGTGGATGGGTGCAGGGTTAAATCAATTTAACGCTGCTAAATTCGACCTCAACTCCTAGTGTAGACCAGGGCTAAGGGAAGTCGAACAGAGAGCGTCTCCCATCAATGCAGCGCAGTGAGGACACTGGGGTAAGTCCACCTAAGCTACGTCGACTCCAGCTATGTTATTCACAAAGCTGAAGTAGCATAATTTAAGTTGACTTACCCTGGTACTGAAGACAATTTCAGCGTCAGCTTATTGCCAATCTAAAGAAGTGCAGGCAGGCATGTGGAAGCGGGGGAATAGTCCCACTATTGTGGGGAACTTTCCTGGCTTCTGCACTACCCCGGTGAAGTGGGCTAGTGAAAGGATCTGAGTCCTCGCTCCCACTTCTTTTACCCAGTGGCCTCCCTGCCCTTGAGGACTCCCCTTCCACTCTCCTGTCTGGCAGAGTCCTCGTAACCCCAATAAGACTGGGCCCAGGATTCCTGGGGGGCTCGACCCCCAACCCTGCTGTGGTCACCTAGGACAGGGGCTAGGGTCTCCCCACTCTGTGGTACTCTCTCTGCACTGGGCACTTCCCTGACCCACTGACCATTACATGCAAGTTAAAGCAAATGCAAGTTATTTAATCAACAATTAATTTTAAAAAGAATAAGAAAAAATGGGAAAGGTTAAAGGAAACACATCACCCCGCTCTGTGGCAGGGAACATCAAAAACAGTGTCTCTGGAATGTCAGGGCAGTTCACAGTCTGTTCCTTGTAAGTCCCAGGCCGCCTTCTCAGGCCCTGGCTGTGCTGCAGGGACGCTGTGGGTTGGACACTTGCTCTGGTGGTGGCCACACGCTCTCAGGCTCTAAGTGGTAGGACCCTGCTTCCCAGTGTCGCCCCCCCCCCTTTTGGGGTTACGATCCAAGCCTGGCCTGCAGAGCCTCTTGGCTGAGTCGTCTCCCTGTGCTGGGCCCGCTGCCCAGGGTCCCCATCGCTCTCCCCAGCTGCTCACTGCACCCAGCTCTGGACTGCTCCAGCCCCAGCTGCACCACTCTGTCTCTGCACTGCTGCTGCTGCTCTGCCTCCAGCTCCCTGGGCTGCTTCTCTGGCCCCTCTGGCTCTGGTTGCTACAGATCTGCTCCCAGGACAGGTCTGCTCTGCAGGCTTCTTCTGTGACTCTGCTCCCGGCACTGACCTGCTTCCTGGGCTGCTTTTCTGGCCCCTCTGGCTCTGGTTGCTGCAGCTCTCCTCCCAGGACAGGGTCTGCTCTCTCTGGGCTGTGCCTCTGGCTTTGGGGCTGCAGCTCTGCTCCCAGGACAGGGTCTGCTCTCTCTGGGCTGCTTTTCTGGTCCCTCTGGATCTGGCACAGCTCTGCTCCCCAGCTTGCTTGGGCCCCTGCTTTCTCCTTAGCGCAGCCCCACTCTGTCTGACCCAGGCAATTCCAGCTCACACAGAGGACGGGACCTCCCTGGCCTCCTGACTCCCTGATTAGCCTGCTTGCCCTGTCATTCAGGCTGACGTGGAGCATTGGCCTCTCCCCATTGTTCCTGGGGGCTGTCAGTCTCAGGGTCCCGATTCCCCATCGACCCTTCCCCCTTTTTAGTACTGGGAGCTAGCAACTAAAACACCCCCACTGAATGTTAGTAAGTTGGCAACAGTCCCCTTACACATAGTGGGTGAAATCTTCGCCCCACGGAAATCAACCCATTGATTTGAATGGGACCAGGTTTTTGCTTGTTATATTCATAATAGGTGAAACCCATCCATGAGCATGCCTGCTGCTGCATACTAAGCAAGCCACAAGCAACAGAAAACCTGCTGTAAGCGCTGTGCTGGGAGAATTACAATAAATGGGACTCCTGGTCATGAAAGGCATGTGTTCCTGCTCTAGGTCATCACATGCTGTAAAGTCACAGCTACCAAATAAGTGTCAATTTGCACATCCAAATGTGGAACTGGAATATCCTGTTAAGGGCCCATATTTGAACACGTGACTCACTATTGTACTGGACACTAGAATTTTAACAGCAATTTGTGCACTAACAGAAGGTCTTCTTGGCAATGTTGTTAGGCTCATCATTGCAGTATCGTACATACCCACTATTTCTATAGCTTTCCCTTACCTACCAAAAGGGGTTTCCCCAGCCCCTTCCTTGACTTTCCTGACATTACGTGCAGAGAGGGGACTCTCATGGGCTACTTTCTGTTTCTCACACTAACAAAAAGTCCAATCCTTAAAAATCAAGCATCACTCAGAAAACAGACATAATTTCCACTGTGTTTTGCCCCAAAAGCCTGCTAAAAGGGTTCAGGGTAACTTGGCAACAGATTTAAAGGCTTGGACATATAGAAATGCTGTTCCGATACTCAATACACAATATCAAATATGACTTCACTATGTTTAACTTTCATATATTTTAGTAGCAAAATATTTTACTTCAGCTGTGGCATGCAGAATAAATTGCTGCCATACTAAATATTCTTCCAAATGGATTTAACTTTGTGTAATAAAATGAAACAGCTGGGGTACCATAATTTCCAGAAAGAGTATGGACCCACATGACAGGAGAAAATGGAGCTGTCAGAAAGCATGAGCATTCATATAGGCTGTGACACTATCTCAGGATGATTTTCCCTTAGTACTATTCACTGCAATGTGCAGTGTCCAAGAACTATTGGCCTTCAGAATGGGTTAACATGGCCAGGCTTACAATATGAAAGTGATTTGGAAGCCATGGAGGAAATTGTAAAAAGCTATATTTAAAGCATGACTCAAGATAAGGATGACAAGTTTATAAAAACTGCCTTCCGCAATCAAGGGCAATCGTGAGAAATGCCTTTATTCTCTGATAACAAGGGCCAAATTCTGCTTTGTTACATCCATACAACCTCTTTAACTTCAAAGGAATTGCATTGCTATAGATAAGAGCAAAATTTAGCTCCTATCCATTCAGACAGGTCAAGAGATTATGCACTACATTCAAGTCATTTTATATTTATTGCCCTGTTAGTTAGTTTATATTTTTTCTCATTCACATAAAATTCCTTGACAAACTAAAGTACAGAGAGGTAACAGTACAGAACTCTCCCTAGGACACGCAGGAGACTTGTGGCAGAGTCAGGGACAGAACCCAGGCCAGCAGAGTCCCCCTCCAGTCCCTTAACCAGAAGCCCTTTCATCTACATAGGAAATAATAAGACTAATAAATGTAAATACAATTTGAATCACACTAAAAATACAAGGCAACAGCTTATCTGGTACCCTGTTTTACTATAGGAAAGAGATAAGCAAAGGACACAATCCCACATTCCTTATGCAGGTCATGTGTAATTCCTGCCAATGTTAATGGGAGTTTGAGCATTGTTAAATATTACTGCCTGCTTATAGGAACACCCACAACCTACGAGGCTCTGTAAAACCAAGGACAGTAGGGCCCCGCCCCAAAGAGCTAGGAACAAACAGATGAAGGGTAGGAGAAAGGAGCCCAGTGAAGAAGTAAAGTAACTGAGGTGAGGATTTCTGAGGTCTTTATAATACAGTGAGTTTTGGTAATGCTGTTTTTAGATGTATTGAGAGTCGTTCAGCTGGGGAGACTGAATCGGGCCATGGAAAGTCACCAGGGATCTTCCAGCTGAAAAGGCCATAACAGAGCAAAACCTAGTAGCAGAGTCCAAGGTCTATAGGGACGAAGATCTCTAGCTTCACCTCCCAAACTGACCAGAAGAGAATGTCCTTTCTTACACTCACCCCCCAACCATGTGTTTTACTTTACTTTTAGTGTTAAGGACTCCTTCCCAATGCTCTCTCTTCTTTGGGGGAGGGGTAGCTCAGTGGTTTGAGCATTGGCCTGATAAACCGAGGGTTGTGAGCTTAATCCTTGAGGGGGCTGTTTAGGGATCTGGGGCAAAAATTAGGGATTGGTCCTGCTTTGAGCAGGGGATTGGACTAGATGACCTCCTGAGGTCCCTTCTAACCCTGATATTCTATGGTTGTTTGGTTGAACTTTTACTCCTCCAATTGCATGGGCTATTCATTTGCAGGAATTACTTTTTTCTGTCTAATACAGTCTGATGTTAGGAAGCTATTCTCTTAGCTCTATATAGCCCACAATTTTTTCACTCTTAATTTGTTTTTTCCCTCCCTAGGTGAGAAGAGGAATCATATAGTTAAGTCACATTTAAGGACCTCCCAGAGGAATCATTTGACGTAATTGAATTCAAGATCAGATCTCTTCTTAGCTGTATCCACTCCTATCCACAGAAACAAATTATGGCTATGGCTACACTAGAGAGCTTACTGCAGCGCTCGCTGCTCCAAACTGACAGAAGAGAGCTCTCCCATTGGCTTAACTACTCCAGTCCCTGCGAGCAGCAGAAGCTACATCAGCAGGAGAAGCTCTCCTGCCGACCGTACAGTCCAGGCTGGTGTTTGTGTTGGTGTAATTTATGTTGCTCAGGGGGGTGGTTTAGTCACACCACAAGTGACATAAGTTATGCCGACATAAGTTGTAATGTAGACATAGCCTAAGTGATTCCCAAGTGAAACAAGTCTTCTGTGATGTTGTTAATTATTTCCTCCAGTTAGGCCTACCTCTATCTGCCGGATCTTTACTGAGGGCGATACCATCATGGAAACCTCAATAAGTTAAAAAAAGGAAAAAGAAAAATGTTGATAATGGCAATGTTTCAGACTTGCTCCAATTCATTTTAAACCCAAAGTGTGTTTCCAAATCAATTATTTGTGACACAGATTGAATGCTGGGAAGAAGAACTAAATTGAAGAGCAAGCTGCATTCTGCACTTAACATTTGGCATTCCAAACCCGAAGGCCCAGTCCTGTAGTCCTTACATACGTGTCAGTTGGTCTGATTCACCCCTGCCTTTGCAATCAATGGGGTTACATTGGGGTAAAACTGGAGTAATGCAGTGGTGAATCAGATCCAGTGAGAATTTTACATGCACAAAGACTGCAGATTCAGGCAAAACAATCTATTGTATATCCACCCTTAGAATCATAGAATCATAGAATATCAGGGTTGGAAGGGACCTCAGGAGGTCATCTAGTCCAACCCCCTGCTCAGAGCAGGACCAATCCCTTCTGATTTATAGATTATAATGAAACTGTGCAAATATTGATGAAGAGGAGGAAATGAATGGTTGCATTGTTTCTCTTTCCTTCTGCGCAGCCAGTTTGTATTATGTCCTTGTCCCTCCTTCAGTCCCAATCTGGCTGACCAACTTGATGGCAAAATAAATGCTTGTATGAGATACTGTGGGTCAAATTCTCAGCTGATATCACTGGAGCTACATCAGCTTACACAAGCTAAGGAACTAGATTTGTAAGAGCAAAACTGGGTTGTGTGTATCCATTAGAATGGATCCATAGAAAGTCTACCCCACATTTATCTCTTCCCCACTGCTCTCATTTTATCTCTGTTGCTGTTCATGGCCCGTTCCCCACCCACCCCCAATCCCTCCCAAAAAATATCATCACATCATGGTACGACTGCTGAATGTTAATGAGATATTAATACTTGGTCCAAGTCCTGCCTGCCAGTCATTTTTTAAGCAATTCATCTTCACAGTTGCTGGTAACTGGTGGATCAGGTAGTCCACCAACCCATCTTTATTGCATGGGTACCTCCAGGCTCGAGAGGGTAGCAAGGATTTCTATACCCACTCATCTCTGTTGTAAATGTACATTCTGTCTCAAAGTTCTGCACAGAGAAACGGTTACCACTCTAGTCTGTCTCCCTAAACAATAGGTTCAGTAATGCAAAATAAAAACTGGGCTCTCATCTAGAACCTGATGATTTATATAAATTCATTGGTTTAAATAGAATCAGACTCAGAGAAATGTAGGGCTGGATGAGATCTCCAGAAATCCTCTAATCCATCCCCCAGTGCTGAGGGAGGACCAAGTAAACCTAGACCATCTCTGAGAGGTGTTTGTATAACCTATTCTTAAAAACCTCCAATGATGGGTTTGACATTACACCCCATATTCTTCATAGAAATATGGCTATGATATGAATCTGGAATAACTAAAATATACTTTATGCAAGATGGCTCATGTAAGATATCATTGGAAAGATTATGATTTACTGAATGTGCTTATCCACTTTGTATGCATGTATCATTTCTGTATCTAAAGTTAGGAATATTGACTATGTAACAATTACAACTGTGTGTGTACTTGGGGGGAACACCCACCAAACAGTAGTCAATCCTCCTGAATGACCCATTTAAGAAGGACAATAGAACTCTGAAGATACTAATCTCTGTCCTTCCTGAGAGGCACCCTGGAATGTATCTGTGACACTACAAGGTCAGGTGCTAATGTCACCTGATGCAAAATACCCCCTTGGACACTGCTGG